AATTATTATTAATAATTATTATTAATACATATTCTAACTTTATATATATAAGACTTTATTTCAATCTTTTAAGTCATTATTAATTAAAACTTACTTGTGCTCATGTTTGTTAAAGAAATTCTACTTAAAAATATAAAAAAATTAATAAAATCATGTATATTGTATATAAAATAACAATTAAAAACTTCCAAAAATTTCATTTATAATTTTAATTTTAACTTCCTTGAAATTGCCGCATTTATATATTTTTATTATCGACCTATCTGTCAACTTCATTAGCTAAAGGTTTGTTCGTGTTGCACGCTCCAATATGCCCAACGCACTCAAATGCGTTCGCATCACCGGAACCAATATGGCGATTAAATGTTCGCGTCGCGTTAGAGCATACTCCAAGATCAATTAAGGGTATCAATCATGAAACTTTTTTCCTAGGATAAAAAATTTCATGATAGGCCTAGTTTCCACTAAGGGTTTAATTCGGATCAGAATGTAAGAACCAACAGTTGATTCTTACATTCTGATCCAGATTAAATCCTCAGTGGAATCTAGGCCATTGATACCCTGATAATTTGATACCCTGACTCCATCGTATACGCCATGAATTCGACTTTTCGTATCCAAGCTTCTACGTCTTCTTCCTCGGAACCACTGAAAGTAGTGATTTGTTTGGCTAATAATTTGACGGCTTGCACAGTTGATGGAAGCTTGCGTTTGCCATTGATGGAAAGGGACCTTTTCCATCGTCTCCATTGGTAGGAAATTGTAGAGAGTGATTCTTTTGATGACTAGCTGCTTGATACGGAATGATTGGTGCGGGTAATCCAATACCAGTTGTTATGGAGAGGCACATCGCCTCTTTGACCGATAGCTAAGCCGGCTAGCTGTGTTATCACCTGTTGCTGCTGCTGGAGTTGTATATATAACCATAACGAGCCGTATTGACTCAGTCAACTGATCTATTTGTGAGCGCCTTTGAGAGGGTGAGCACCTTTCTCCAGTTCGCGATGAAGTATTGTTAGTTGGAACGTTCGCTCGAGCAGTTAATAGGCTCGGATTGTTGCTCGTCAACGAATTGGAACTGATGCCAAGCTCGATTAAGCTGTGTTCACTATGACATTCAAAATGTGACATTATAACGTCTATACACGGTGACTTCCTGTCCTTAGACACGAGCTTATAACGGATACACTCTTCTTGAAGCTCTTTGAGGGTGAGCTTATCCAGATATTCTCGATTCATCGTTGCTCATCTGAATGTGAACAGTCTTCCCCTCCCAGATAACGTAGTACGATACAATACATTTAATGATTGAAAAGTTAAGATCGAGTCTGATGTTGAATACTGACACCGAGTGCAGCGGGACCAAGCTTTGACAGGCATAGAACATAATGTGAAATATTTCGGTCATGGGAACGAGCCATTGTAATGGCGGCGAAAGTGACGACAGCCACTTGTTGCGACTCACGCGACAAAAACCTCGAGATGAACCTATGTGCTCAAGAAGGAGGGAGCCTGATATCCTACTTCTGAAAATTATTGGCTGTAAGGCACAAAGGGTAAAAGCAGGTAACTGCCTAAAGCTGCCGGTAAAGAAACCGTCGAGGGAGGGGGAAAGATGGCTGAATATCGGAAACCTCAATTAATGTCGGGATGTCGAAAGAGGAACTCAAACTAAGATATCTGAGAAATAAGTGAGTATTAGGATAAAAAAGCATATTCACATGATTTGAACACACTTTATTTATATATATATATAGCCAAATATTAGTCTTGAATAATTTTTTACTCAAATATTATCAACTTTACAGAAAAACTCTGCAAGAGACAAAAATCATTTATTTTCTTCTCATAAAGTTCTAAGAATTTTTTCAGAATTTTTTAATACCGTATTTTCTCATGTTGGTAAAAATAAGAAAATACAGTACTAAAAAGTTGATAAAAAATTCTGAAAAAATTCTCAATTCGATTCACTCTACTTGCTTATGATGGGTGACGAAATATGTTAAAATCACCCTGTATAAGTCGCGTTCAAAAAAATTGTAACGTAAAAATAATTGAACTATGTTCATTTGTTTATCTTTGATTCGAAGTAAAATGATGAATAATCGATGTAAACACTCGTAAACTAAGTCGAATATTAAGCTAATTACGGCGCGCGACATCGGCCAAGCGAGATTAAATTATCTGACACTTACCCAATGCTGTCTCATAGTAATATAAATTGTTTATATTTTATTATATCTGTTAAATGATGATATTTTTATTATATCTATATAATTTCGTTACTAGTTTAGCTGGTTGTAATTAAAGTAGAGAATGAATAACACATTTACCAATTGAAGAAGTAATGTAGCGGGCGTAACGTAGAAGATTCATAATCCAGAGGTCGAATTTCACTAAGATGCGTTTTTTAATATCAATTTGAAGTAGTTAATTTCAGATATAATTATTATAAATGTCGTAGGAATAAAATTTGTAACCTAGTGTCAGCTCGGATCCAATCCATTTCAATTCATTCAATCTATTTTCATAGATTTAAAGTACACATTTAAAAAATTTTAATCCATTTTAATCAATTCTCGTTTACTGGGATGGACGCGCTCTCACCGTCATCTCTGATTTTCGTGTCAAAGTAATAGACAAACAGTAAGAACTAAGCATTACTGACGAACTGATGGGCGCCAAATTTAATTTAAACTGAAGTCTTTATATTGCCTACTGTATCAATTTTAGAGCTCATTTTGTGAGACGCTCATTTCTGCTTATCTTCCGAAAAAATTAATTATTACAAATAGTATTATAAAAACTGCTTATATTATCCGATAGAAGACACTTTTTAGTTCGTATTTATGTATTTGAAGTTTTATTTTTTGTTTAAGAAAATGTTGTCTAAAAACAAAGTGATATGTCGATATCAGCAACTTTCCCCTATATACATTATATTTAATTGTAGAAGATGTACATATATATTATATATTCACTTTACCTAAAAGATTCTTAAAATTCCATATCTGAATATACGAAGTATGGCAATAAAGTTGGACTCTTTTTATTGTGGGTGTACGGCAATACTGGTTGGCCACAGTGACGCCACGTTTGTTTACTTTTCACACAGTCATCCAATTGTTTTCAGTTCTCTCGATAACATCATGTAGCTCTGTTTTTGTAACGATGGAAAGCAATCGTGATTTTGAAGAGCAACGAGTTGTGATAAAATTCCTCGTGAAAGCTGGAATAACAAACTCGGAAATTCTTGAAATGATGAAAACCCTGTTTACGGAGACTGTCTTGTGAAAAGAAGTTCGTTCTTCAAGTGAGATGACGAGGTTCAGAAAGGGGAGAATCTCAACGGAGGACAATGCGTTTGGGATGCCCCTCCACCGCTCGCAATGACTTTTCTGTGCAAAAAATTGAAGAAGCCATCAACTCAGATTGTTTGCGTGAAACAGTTCGCAGAAAGAGACCCGATTTATTTATTTTTTTTTTATGACAAGACGTGAGTATTTTAACGACAATATATCCGCTCACACCTCCATCATTGTCAAGCAGTTTTTAGCCAAAACGTTCCTTGAACATTCCCCCTACTCATCGGATTTAACCCCATGTGATTTTTTTATTTCCAAAAATTAAAGAAAAATTGAAAGGACATCATTTTCAGTGCTCTTTGAAGATCATTAAAGAGACATCGTCAAAGGCGCTGTTAAGGGTAACAGAGAAACAATTTCGCGAGTGTTTCAAAGGCTGGAAAAGATGAATGGAGAAATATATTACAGCTTAAGGAGAGTACTTTGAAGAGTGCAATGTGTAATATTACTTTTTTGAATAAAATGATTTTTACAGCATTTGTTCGCGAACTTTATTGTCATACCTTGTATTCGTTAATTGTGTCCATATAATTTTTAACATGAAGTCGAACTGAATTGGTGATCCCATAATTAGTTAAAATTTATTGACAATTTAGTGCGTTTGTCCATAGCATTTGTTTACTGCCAGTCTATTGTAATGCCGTTCCGAAATACGACGTTACAGTATTGCTGGCCATACCAATAATTTTGGAATGGCTGTGGCAGTACACTATTGTAATGTCATGATGCACTGCCAGTAAAAAGGAAATATATTCAAAATTCAATGGCTTTTCTAGTTTGGTTGCGTCAATATGGCGGAACTACACTATGTGCATAATTCACACAATGTTTTGCACTCAATATTATATACTGTGCATTTTGCGGATAGCTCGCTTACTCGCTCGCTTGAAACTTTGGGAAGTTGATCTTTGAAAAGATGGTCAAAAGTATCATCAGAGAGTATTATCGCTTATTTTCGTGCCTCTACAACCTGTGCATAAATTTTTCTGCACTAACACTTCAACAACAAATAAACCTTTAGACTAAAACATACAAAAATGAGACATTTGTATAGTATTTCTTTTGGTTCATAAATAAATTATTTACAATTAAAAAATTGGTTTACATATTTTACGGCTTTATTTTCCCAATAAAGTATGTTTATACAAATACATAAGTTTAAAAATGACCGCGTTTTACGTCAAAATGGAGGCAAACTTTATAATTCTACTTTATTAGATGTGGGCTTGCTATACAATAACTAGACTTTTCAGCTTTTAGATATAATAAGGATTTTATTCAAGGACTTTCAACAAGATGTACTCTGCGCAAATTATACAGACAAGAATATAGTTTTAAGAATTCTTATAATATTATCTTATTCTTATCACTTAAATTATTATAGAAAAAAATAAACAGTTTTACTTCAAAAATCAATTTTATTGAAAATTATTTCAATTTTTTATTACTATGATTACTTTTTATTTTTAGTTTCGATTTTTTGATAGCTTCGTTCCCCATGGAGCAATTTTTTCATAAAACTGGACTATTATTCTAATCTCAAACCGTCTTTTAAAAGATTTTTTTATTATTTTCTGTTATAAAAATACATCAAATCAAATTTTATTTTCTTACGAATTCTTCTATTATACAGTAATTATCTTTTTTCATAAAATATTTAAAATAAATTTTCTAATTTTTTACAATTTCGAAAATATTGGTATTCTATGGGGAACTCATCCACAAAAAAAATAATAAAAAATACTTTTTCTTTATACAAATGACGGAATAGTTACAGGAGGTTGCATAATATGCATACCTCCATCCACAGATAATGTCACTCCTGTTATGAAACTAGCATCGTCACTAGCTAAAAATGCAATGGTTTTTGCGATTTCTAAAGCATCGCCGTTTCTTTCTAAAGCATGCCATGCTTTCGACCGCTCGAAAAAGATTTTAAGCTCTTCTTGGCTCATTCCACTGTTTTGAAAGATACGTGTTACTATAGCGCCAGGATTTATGGTATTCACACGCACCTATCGTATTTTCAAAAAATAACTTATGACATACAAAATAATATTTATAATGCTATTGTTGAAAAAAGAAAACAGCCATTATCCTTACCTGTCGTGATCCTAGTTCTAAAGCAACGCAATGCGTAAAATGATCCAAAGCCGCCTTACTCATGCAATATGCCAGAGTATTCTTCAATGGTCGTAATCCAAGTATGCTTGAAATATTGACAATGTTACCTTTCGTTTTGATTAAATGTGGCACTGCCAACGCAGTCAATTGGAATATTGACCGAACATTTACGTTGAAAATGCTGAACATATTTACAATAAAAACACGTTTTTGTTGTATCAGTATGTTTTTAAAATAAAACACAATTCATCAATATTCATGTTTATACATACTATCAACTTATCATTACATACTTGTCATACTGTTCCAAGCTTGTAGTCTCTATACCACCTAATTCAAAAATTCCAGCGTTATTAACTAAAACATCTAATTTCCCATAATGCTTGATTGTCAAGTCGATAATATTTTTCAAATCATTCTCATTGGCTAGATCTCCTATTATAACAAACGGCTTGAGTTCTCCACATTGTTCAGCTACCTTGTCTAAATTGTGCTTATTACGCCCTGTTATTGCCAGTGATGCACCAAGCTGAGCCAGATGAATAGCTGTTGTAGCTCCAATTCCTGAACTGGCTCCTGTTATCAGGATGACTTTTTTCAAGAAAGACATCTAAAATAAACAACGTTTTTTTGCACTGAGTACATCCAATAGCACATCCAATCACATTAAATTATTATATATCTAGTAATATAAAATTTATTATATTATGATGTTATTTATACAACGATATTCAATAATATAACACATTTTCAAATATGTTGAATACATCATTTTAAACATACTTTGACATTGATTTGAAGGATAACATTGATATGTTATCATGAAATAACGTTATAAATAATATTGCAGCGAAATATTCAATGTTTATTGAAGTAATGTCTTACAGACGATGCAATTTAATATTCGAGAATGTTAATTTAACATTTTTTTAATATCATATAAACTTTCAAAAATATTAGGTTTCTAAATTAATTTTCACAAAATATACGATCTTTTCAAAGTCCATTTTATTTGTTTTCATCGCAGAACATATACTAGGGCTTTCATTTTGAAACCCTTCGGTCATCTTCTAAAAATTATTTCATTAAACATAGATAAAAACTCATAATATTGCGCCTCTTATTCAATTCTATGTCATTATTAAACACGAGAAAATTATTCCGCTATGTTCTCCTATAAGCGATACTGTGTACTGTTCCTAGGTGAGCAATTTTAATGTTAATTCGTTTAATATTGTTTCATATATCTATTGTATAAATTACACATGGTAATCGTGAGAAATAAGGAGATACTTTGATAACGCGCACTAGAGTCAATTTTAAGAAAACGTTATTTTCTATGCTTTTTCTAAAGAGGATAATTTATTTAATATTTATGGATATTTCAACTATGCAATATTAGCTTAATCAGTAAATGTGCATTTTAGATTACACCGATTTCAATATCCTTTAGATATGTATAGTGGAGAGTGTCCTCCCCTACAGCACGACATTGCAATATTTCAATAGTGCGCAATATCATAACTATAATATTTTACTGAAAATATTGCAACACTATTGCAAAATATTGTAATTTTAATATTTTGTAGAAAATATTGTAATATATTATTACAATATTACAATTCACTAAATAAGTACTCGGCTTCGCCACTAGAAGAATACGCTTCTCGTAAGAAGAAAACGTCTATTCCTATAAGAAATACGCAAATCTAGTTAGCGAGTCTCCTTAATCTTTTTTTAGACGAATTTATTCGAATTCCCACCTTGAGTGTTCTCTGGGTGTCATGTCCTTGCTTCGATAAATAATAAAAATGAAATAATACCTGGGTGGCACTCCGGATGGGAATCGAAACATCTTGGATGTGCTTTCTAAGCCCCTGAATATTTTTTGATTATAACTTTATCGTATGTATTGTAGAATATGATGCTAAACAATAATATATTAGCAATTAATAGAACTAAAGTAATTATTGAAATATTGTATAATGTTATAGCAATATTTTATTTTTGCAGATATAGAAATATTGCTATATGATATATAATATTGCAGCAATGTTTTATGAAGTACAATCTTTCAAAATAATATTGCTGTAATATTTCGTGCTGTAGGGGCTGAGTGATTTCCACAAGAATTAAATGGGGAACGGTATTGGTTTAAATATCATAAATTAAAATTTCATAATAAAGAATGACGTATTTCATAATAAAATCGACGTGTAAGACAAGAGTTCTTTAAGAAACATCTTCAAAATATTTCACAAAGAACACTGAAAGATATCTTAAAATTGTCTTACATTGATTTTATCTGTTTATTCGGCAATGTTTAGAAATTAACATCTCATATATATAATAAGAAAGCCTTTTGGATCCGACTCAGGATCTTATTGAGCAATGTTAATATATCACATTAATAATTTAATATGATTTACAATATATACGTTTCGATTCATTTTGGGGTCCTTCTCAATATTACAGTCTTGAAAAATTGTATTGCATTTTTGGTGATATATTTGAATATGGTAAAACCGAGATACACCATTAAATTACCTGGTTTAATAATGTAGTTGATTGTGTTAACAGTACGCATGACGGAGATCTTCTGAATTATTAAATTAATATCTCGTTAACTATTGCGAAAATCGCAAAAAAAATGGTACAGGACTTTTCGACTCAATTTTTTATTAAAAATAGCATTGTATGATTAGTTATTTCAGATACTGTAGCTAATAGTATTATATTTATATTTGCAAACATCGATTTAATTATATAACAATAGTAAATTGTGTTTAACAAATGTGTAATTTATACTTACTGTAATACAATGATATTGAACAATTCACAAAATTTATAATTTCGAGCGAAAAAAGATGCGATATTGCGTTTGAATAGATGTGATCCGTAAATCAGTGGTAAGCGGACATGCCATACGATAAATGCATGATTTAAATTGGCACTTTACATACTTATAAGATCTGTCCCACTTCTTTATTTAAAAATAGTAAGACGCATTTAATCATGATTAAATATTATAACGAATGATGAAACGTTTCCTACTGTAAGATATATTTTAAATTGTACGTCTATCATTTATGCACATAATTAATAATTATAGGCCAAGCAGAATAAAATGTCATGTTAACGTCAAGCAGTTCCCGATAAAAAATTTTTTATATAGGAATATACATATATGAATATATATATATATATATGCATAAATATGTATATAATATGTATATGTATATATATATATATAAATAAAATAATAATCCTAATACCAAAATCGAGGCTATAATAATTTTTAAATTGCGGTTAAAGTTAACTACACAAACAACACAGGTGACTGTTTGTCGACTTGTAGTCGACTTTTTTCCAGTCGGCATATAGTTGACTGTTGAAAATCGACATAAAGTCGACTAACCCAGTTGAGAGTAAATAGACATTCTAAATCGACAGTCGATTTAGAATGTCGACTGTTAGTTGACTTTTGTTGAGACATTTTTCGTCAAATATTAATCGACTATTAGTCGACTCTTTGTTTGATGGGTTATCACAAAGCTAACATTTCGCACGCTCAGGAACGATACATCACACAGGAGGATGTTCATACGCCTATGTTCGCCCCATGCGAGATTGAAGTAATAACTTATAATAATTGAAATACTTCACTAATCATGTTTAAACATAGAAAATAATTACATATGTACATAACATAAAGATATTACGAAATAGAAATAAAGATATTAAAAATAATAAATATGTATAACGAATTAATTTAAAAACTATTATAGCTTCACAACATTTTGGTTTTAGGATTTTTGTCTTATTTTTAAGTCAGGAATACATTATTAAAATTTCGGTTACGAATTATGAGACATATACATGTAAATCGTATATTATATACGATATAAATATATCCATATAATATGTTTCTTTCTTTTGTAAAATTATTGTTTGATATAAGCAAAATAATAATAATAATAATGAAATGACATAAAAATAATTAAAAGTATAATTTTAACATTGTTTTCTTTATAAAAATTTAAATTTGAAAAATGAGAAAGAATTGCCCTTGATTATTTCAGAACGACACCTTAATTATTTAAAACATTATTAATTAAAATTAATCGAATCATCGTTAAAGAATATATTATTTGTTATTTTATGTGCCACGTATCTCCAAATTAAGCGGGGAGCATAAACTCTTGCATAACGCATAACACGCGTAAAAAAAACCAATCAAAGTCCTTCGTTTCTTTTCTTTCCTGAAATAAAGAATTCTGATTAGTTAAATTTCTTATGTGCATTATGTATTATGCGATATGCATAATAATCTGTGCTCTCCATCTTAAGAAACACAACTTGCATAGCCGCATAAACATATGCATAAAGATAATCATCGAATCACATTTCTGTCAAAATGTATAATTCTGTTAAAAATGTTAAAAATAATAATGGGTTAAATCCCCCTTTTTTATTAAAAAAAAACATTTATTTTAACGTTTGAAGAAACATTTCTTTAACATTAAAAAAAATGTTTTTAATGTCATAATTATTTAAACAAAATTAGGAAAAAATAACACTGTAGAATTTTTTAATTTATTTTTTTTATCGACAGTAAAAGTCTAAACTTAAAATTTTTAATTGTATTTTAATTTTTTTCTTTTTTACCGGCCGAATTTTGAACCTAAGATCTCAGGGTTGAGTCTCGTATTTCATCCGTCACGCTACTTATTGATGCACACAGTTCTTATTGTCCATATATGGTACACTTAATGCAATTGTATTGTATTAACTTCTCTTCCGTGATTATTTTATTATTCCGAACCGTTTTTTATTAATTTGAGATTTAGAAAATAATATTTTTTAATAATAAATATTTATAATGAATGTTAAATAAATGATTTTTAATCATATTTTAAATAAATAAATAACAAAAAACAAACATTTATTAAACGTTATATAAATGTTTAAAAAAGATTTAATAAACATTAAATAAATGTTTCTTTAAACCATTATTTCAAATAATTAATGTGAAATATATGTATCAAATTGAATAGTTTTTTATAAATTCCTATAAATATATTGGATTGGTTAGAAAGTTTGTGCCGTTTTTTTTAGTTCAAAATTATACATAAAATATATTTGTTGTTATTATTATACTACTTAATAAAGAAAAGTTTTAGCTTTAAAAATTGATTTTTTTAAATTAAGATACGATGATTTTTAACGAAATTATGAGCAATCAAAGTCAAAAGTGCTTCTTTTATTTAATTCACAATAATTCAATAACAAAAAATCTTAGAAATATATTTTTAAAAAACGATTTTGTAAGGAAAACTTTAAACTTTCACTTGGATGGAAAGCCAAAAATTTTTACGAATTTTTTTGAGCAAATGATAGACCCAAAGTTAAAAAAAAATTTTCCATCTCTTTCAGCTCGTAGTTTTCTGTATATAAAAATTACCAAACACATAGAAACTCAAAAACATAATAACCTTTCGAAAATAGAGATTACAAGCTTCAAAATCGGTTTTTTAAATTTAAATTTCGTTTGTTTTTGACGAAAATATTGTAAATTTAGTGCAAAAAAAACGGCACGAACTTTCTGACCAACTTAATATTTGGAAAAAATTTTACAAAAAATCTGAATATGTTCGATTTTGAAATGTAATTTCGGAAAAATTTCGAAAAAATTCTAAAAAAGTTTTTGCCAGGATCTTAATATCTTTTTTTACTTCTAAGAAAGAAAAACTAGCTCTTTTTCTAAAAATCCAAAGAGAATAAAAAATTCAAAATAATGTCAATTTGTCATCGTATCGACCGATTATTGATCAAATTTATATTATTTTTTGTCATTTAGCTAATATGACATTATATTGTCTTTCTTGTTCTCTTTAGGAATTAACTTTTTCTAAGAATTAGAAAAAGATAAAAAGTCTTAAAGTTTTAATCAAGATTAAAGTTAATCTATATTGAAAATAGACATATTAAAGTTAATTTTAAATCTTATACATATGTACATACATATATTGATAGAAATGAACAATAGAGAAAAATAATTTTAATAAAGATGCTGCCAATGTTTAGGAAATTGCGATTTTATCGCATTGTCCAAGTACAATCAATGAATTTCGACTTCGACCGCCTCTAGCCTCTGGTTTTGGTCATTTGCATGCTATACACGCATTTCACGCTTACTAGACATGCTCTTGTTATTGACAAACTGTTAGTATTATAATGTTTTTCTTACTGAATTTATAAAGAAAGCTGTTAGCTTATTTTTTTCATAAAATTATATACATAACAGGGAAGTTAATTAAAAGTATGCTTATTTTTACTATTCCTCCATGCCGCATATATATATAAAAGTTCTTACGTAAGTATTATACAGGGTGTCCCGTAATTATTGACACAATACTTATGGGTTGGTAGAATGAATTAAATTGAATCGAAAAATCCTTTATCATTGTATAATTTTCGCAATAATTAACGGTCGGTACAGGTGGATATGAGCATTCGGCAATCTTTAAAAATTAATATCTCACTAACTATTGTGAAAATTGCAAAATGATACAGGATTTTTCATTGTCAGTTTAATTTATTTTTGGCTGTCCGCAAGCATTATGTCAATAATTACGGGACACTGTATAAAATTATTCTATAGTCCTCGTATTAAAGTTTAAAGAATTAAAATTTTAAGAACAAAAGTAACAGAACGAACAATCAATATCATATCAATATAAAAAACAGGCTAAATTTTTTATTATAAATATAATAATCAATTAAATCACAATTGATCGGAAATGAAATCAATTTAAACAATAATATTAATATAATTGATTAAAATACATAAAATTATAATTAAAATTAATCGAAGGAAGATATTGGTGGAATAAAAATCATATAAAGGAACTGATATTGTGCTCGTAAAAAAATATAATTTTCGTCGGACATAAAGGATGCAACACATCATGTGCCTTTGATATAGCATGAGGAAAATTGGATTATCAACTTTACAGTTTATTCTTGGACGGTATCTATTTGATATTTTTGCACAATATATTAACAATTGTTATTTTGTCAACTTGATAAAAGAATACACAAAATATTGATATATCGTGATAATATTAGGACATTCTGGAGTCCTGCCCAGGTCAAAGTCGATTGCACAACAAAAAATATATATATATTTATTTATTTATATACTCTTTTATGTATAATAATCTGTGCGGAGGATAGGTCAGTATTAATAATTTTCTTCCTTTAGTTCTTACGAAACATGTATGTACAACGTGTTTGCATTGATTTCTCATCCTCTCTATCGAGGTATAAAATTACAATCCTTGTATTATATATAAATTGATTAACTTGCAAGAGCGTTCCGTCTTCGGAATTTGTATGTGTTTAAATTATCTAATATTTACAGAATTATTAAAAAAGGACATCTTATTTTGAAATTATAATATTACGAGATGAAAAAATCTAAAAATTTAACGAATTTATTTTTCTCATAAGATTTGAAAATTGCATTTGAACGAATTATTACAATACAAGGATGTTATACTGCAATTAGTTTGCGCGGAAGAAGAATTCCGTCTACTGACTCTGCAAAAAATGCATTAAAAGGAATTAACTGACGTTCGATTTACATTAATCATCTGATTAAAAGTTGAATGTCATATAATTGTTATTAGCAATCCCACTAAGCAAGAAAACATTTCAGTAACGTTTTGAAACGTTGCTGCAAGGTTTTGGAATGTTTCTTGTTTGCTGGGATTAGCTTAAATATCTTTCAATTCTTTTTCAACAAGATCAGTAATTATTTAATTATTTCATTTATAATCAAATTAGAAAAATATTTAATATTGTAAACTGCAGATAGGATAGAGTAGGGTTTTTCGTCCACAGGATTATTCCTACCAGCGATAATATAGTGTTTTAAAAT